CTCTGCCTGGCTTGCAGCTATGGTGGACCTGCAGGGTTAATGGGGTGGGCAGGCTGATGTGCAGCTCTGCCCAGGCATGCCTCAAAGCACCTGACTTGAACACCCATGAGGAGAATGGAGGAGCTCTTTGGGCTGGCTCCTGCAGGTACTTCCATGGTTGGGCTGAAATGGAGCTGAGAAAGCTGGGAGGGTCTCCCTCTGTCTACCAGGCAGCAAAGTCTGACACTCCAGCTGGGCCAAGTGGCTTTTCTGCTGGCAGCACATGCAGGGAGGAGCCAAGGAACTGCTTTGCCAGTGATGGGGATGGAGCATCTGGGGCTCCTGAGAGTTCCCAACCTGTTGGGCTGAGGGAGGGCTGGGGACATATCATCCACCTGCTGTTTCTCCTTTGAAGAGAGCTCCGTCCAGCACTCACCCCTGTGGCACCTCTCCCGCTGCTGGGAAGTCTTTCAAACTGCCTGCTCTGCTTTCATCTCAGGGGGATTGGTGGAGCTTGTGGGTTTTCTGCAAGTGGCTGGGATCTCATCTTCCCTGTGTTCCACCTGTCTTTGTTGTCCAGCCCTGCTAATCACCAGAACACCATGTAATGTGGCCTTGTGCTCCTGGAGCAGGCCTCCTGGGGCAGGTGTTCAGCAATCCTGGGCTCCCACCCACTCTCTGCTCCGTTTCACTTTCTCCTGCCTGTGGGCCAGGATGGGGGAGGGCTTGGGTCCCACTTGATCGGGCTTTGCCACTTTACCATTTTCTGTGGGGTTTTTTCTTCCCCAGGTGTAGATAGTCTGTTCTGCAGTCTTCATGCTGTTTTCAGATTTGGTTATATTTGCTGTATTTTCATGTTTTATGTGTTTTTGGGAGTAGGTTTCCTCCTTGCCTTCCTACTTTGCCATCTTTTTCTCAGAATCTGTCCCCATCGGCTTTCTTCACTCTTTAACATTCCTTTTTATTTTTTCTCCTCTGGCTGGAAAATTTCCAGTGACCTCTCTTCAAATGCACAGATTCTTTCTTCTGCTTGATGAAGCCTGCTCTTGGTGCTCTCTATTGAAATTTTCAATTTTATTTTTTGTTTTTCTCTGTTGCATTTTTTCATTTCATTCACATCTCCAGCTCTTGGATTTGTTTGGTCCTGTTTTATGATTTCTACCTCTCTGTTTTGGCCTTCCATTTTGTTCGTGTACTGTTTTCCCGATTTTGTTGATGTGTCCATCTGTACTCTTGTAGCTTGCTGAGCTTTCTTACAACAGTTGTTCTGAATATGTTGTCAGGAATTCATAGCTCTCCATTTCTTTGGGTTTGATAAAATTATTGTGTTTCTTTGATGTGTCATGTTTCCTTGATTTTCCATGTTCTTTATAAAGCCTCTCCTTTCTGTCTTACATTTCAAGAAGCAGTCACCTCCTACAGTCTTTACTGGCTGGATTTGGGAGAGAAACATCCTCACCAGTCACTCTGGCTAGAGATCCTGAGGTTTTGAGAACAAACCTTTCCTATGGATGAGCCTGCTCCACACTTCCTGTTCCATTTTGGGAGGGAATTTTTAAGATTGTATCCCTTCTCTCAATGCTGCAAAGCAAGACAGCGTGATGAGGGCCCCTCTTTGTTTTCCCCTGAAATGCTCAATTTTGGGAGCCTTCCTCCAACCCCATGGAGTCAGGCCCACTTTCTGCATGTGCTTACTAGCTCTCTGCAAAGGCATTTGCTAACTGTCCACGGGAGTGCACTCCAGGAGGTGGCCACTGGGGGAGGGGGTGGGCATGGGGTATACAGGGTGTTGAGGGTGTCTGAGCTAACTGGATTGGGGCGGGGAGTCTGCCTGTGAGGTGTCCATAACATCTCACAGAGGGCTTCCTTGCAGATTCCATGAAGGAGTTAGTAGAATGAACCGTGATGTGGTTAGTACTGTCCCTTTGTTGAGTTCCAGGCCCTGATTGCTGTTTCCCAAGCTTCTCCCCAGTTCCTCAGCCATGCCGATCACCTCGCTATTCTGTGAGCAATAAGACAGGAGTGGTCATCTTGAGCAGCATCCCACACAGCTTTGGAAGCTGGGCGCTCACTCGCGTGCTCTTACTTTTACCTTTGTGGGAGAAACCATAGACTAAGGGAGCCTCTCTTGGCACTGAGATGTGCTGCCTTAGGTGAGGAGTGACACAGGTGAAGTGGAGACTCTTCTTCTTATCCTCTTGAGTGAGTTTAGTCTCTGATTTTTCACCCCAATGGTGTGCAGGAACTTGTCTGCTGGACTCCTGAGCTCTCACAAAGATATTCTCATCTGTGGTGACTGTCAAAATCAATGTTCTCTGTAGGGTTGGGGATTAAGGCAGAAAACTCCTATCTGCCATGTCTTGGCATCAAATGGCTATTCTAGTTATTTATAGTTATCCCACGTTAACAATTCATCTAAGTAACATTAGTCATCTATAGCATTAATGTCTTATTCCAAAAAGAAATAAAAATTTAGAGTTCAGAACAGCATGCTTTTCAGCCTCTAGTCTTTATCTCTCCTAATTATGTCTAGTAATTTCTATTTAGCTAGAGATCTAGAGGTACATAGTTATGTAAAACTAACTCACTAATTTAAAAAATCTTATTTGATAATAATATGTTTCCAATTCCTTGCTTCTGCTTGTTATTCCAATTACCTTTGGGGAACTACTTGCCTAGGCACCACAACTTTTCTGTAGTACTAATTCCTCATTTCAAACAATTTTTCTGTGGTACTTACTTATCATTTCAAGTGATTCATCTCCATGCAGCCAGGTCTTTCCTCTCTTCCCCAAAGCGAGACACCCACGAGCTCACAAATATGGGGAAGCCTGGTGTCACATGTGGCCATTAGTACATATACTGATAACTATTTCTCACTAAGAAGGTGAAGTAGTGCATCCCAGTCACCTTAGGAATCAGATTGTCACCTGGGTCACAAGATCATCATCTCCTTTCTGTGGCACCTGAAACTTATCCTCAGAGCAGAGTCTTAACCACATCTTGCTTGCTCTACTGACTCACAATGCTGTGAATGACTGAATGAATGACATAGTGAAGACAGTGTCAGCACATAGAGATAGATAGAGTTCCATGGGAAAGCTGAAGTTGAGTCATACATTTGACTCAAAGAGACAGGATATTCCAGAGGGACTAAAGTGTGTTGCTTCAGCATGTAAGGTTCACATAAAGCGTGGAGGGGGTGTGTCTCCAAATACTTTCCAGGACTCTGAGGATGTCATGTGGATTGGTGCAGGAAAAATGCACCAGGCCTCTTGGCCTCTGACAGGTGGAGTCCAAAGAGGCCTTTGTTGGGCCTGAAGTTTATACAGTTTGGAAGGCCCTCTTCTAAAATCACAAAAACGAGCATGAGGGTGAACATTTATTCAGAATGTGAGGAAAATTCACTATGAACTTTAGAAGATGACAACTAGACCACCCAAATTCCAAAATACTACATATATGGATATGTACATACATACACATACATGCATGTGGAGGTATATAGATGTATTTGGACGTTCCAGCTATGCAGTTGTATAATCTGAAGTATGATGGAGCAGAGGTTCAAGGTGAAAGATATAGTGGTTTGATTGTGGATCAAAGCAGCTAATTTTTACACATTTTGAAAGCAAAAAATCCACATGTTATGTGAACACATAGCATGGGTCCATGAGTGACAGATGACTCCCTGTAAAAATAAAAATGCACTCAGCTTCATGTTAACCATTTAATGTTTATTTTCATGTCTACTTAAAAGTAAACCAGGTTTTCTAACTTTTATTTTTCTCAAAAAGAAGAAAAAATCTAGTTTCAAAAAATAGGATAACCATTCATGGGCTTAAGAATTTATCTCTTAGTGGAGACTTTTTGGTAATCCATTTCCCAGTTCCCAGGTCCCGGTCCATCTGCTGCTCAAGCAGCCTGAAATGACTTACCAGTCTGCGTTTATATTGTTGGAACCTGTCGGAGTTAGTTGGTAAGTCAAGAGATATAAAGGTCACTTGGTTTGAGACAAACAACTGCTTTTTAGGGGACACAGGTCCAGACCAAAGTGCTTGCTTTTCTACAGTTTATGCCATCTAGATGGGCTCCTGGCCCTCTGCCTGGACTCCTAGGTCCAGAGTAGCTAGACTGTGTATACAGTGACTCTAGTTGTCCTTCACATGGGGACAGATGGCTGTGTGTAGAGGATCCAGTCAGTTAGGAAGACAGCCAGAAGCCTGTCTGTCTGCTTTAGGAAATAATGCAGCCCCTGACGGAGAGCTACTTCCCTAAATGGAATCTCAGGGAAATGTAGAGGTAACAGTCTTTCACAGGCTCACAAAGTGTTCACTGCATGGTGATGTTTTCATACACCCACATGTGGACTCCTTGCAGCTGATCTTAACTTTGGATGTCAGATTTTTTTCCTACAACCACTTGAAGGCAGTGGTCATATATGAAAAAAAAAGTCTCTGTCATTGGTGTCACCTCTCAGGGCTCTTTTCCCAAACAATTTAAGCATGGCAGGGGAAATTCAGGAATCATCCTAAGAGGGATACAATTATTCATACCGATGTGTCAGAAGAAGAATGAGAAATCCATGTGATGTTTCTGTAAAACACGTACCTAAGATTTTACAAGCAATTGTTGCTTAACATCTGATCCCAGGGCTTTTCCATGTAATAAAAGAATACACCTCCCATACTAAAATGTGAAGCACAGTCAAGAGCAATGTTATGAAACTATCTGAACAATTACATATCCAAAGTAAGTAGAGGGAAGTAAAAGTGTTTGCCATATTTTAACAAACCAGTTTGTGAGGAGTTTGGGAGCAGGAAATGATGATGACGGTGGCACCCACAAGTGCTAGTGATGGATCCAAAATGAATTCAGTGTGTTGCCAAGGCCTCACATTTCCAGAATGTATTTACATGCCATAGATAATGGAAAGAGCACACATTTCATACAGACAGTGTTTCTCATTGATGATGTAAATGAGAAGTCTCCCTGCCGAGGTGTGGGCCCATTGGGCTGGGCTACTTAGCATTGCCCCTTGTTACTGATCTCTTTCTCACTATCTTTAAGATGTTTTCATCAAATAGTTCTTTTTTCCGGTAATGCACAAGTGGCCCTCACAGATACTTTTCCTCTGCCTCCTTGTGCTCTAACCCATCAAGTGCAACAATTGAACAAATGATTGCTTCTAGCAGGAGAACTTCCACAACAAAGCTCACTTTGTCATCTCTTCTCAGAGCCAGCATTGTCTTGTCTATTTGTTTGCAGATTTCTTGTAAATGCCTTACCACAACATCCAACTATTCTTCATCCTGTAGGTATGTTTCAGTGCAGATCACATACCTGCCTGAATTCAGAAATGATGCCAGCCACCTGGACTGTTTCCTGCCTTTTACAATGTCCAGGAGATGGTCGTTGGCCCCCTTTCTTTTCACGATGAAGTCCACTAGCTTCTGGTTCACTCGGTCACAAGCAGCCCTTGTCCAGTCAGGCAGAATTTTCTTACAGGGTGTCTTCCCACCCAGAGAGGTCTCCTCCTCAGAATCTTCCAGGTTGGTGTAATTCACCTTTGGGAAGTCACTCTCCACAACCCACTCATGGATGGCTTTCCTAATTGGGTAATTGATGTCAGCAGCATAGTAGTCCAGGAAACAGCCTGCAGAAGACCCCTGGCCGAGCCCTTCTCTGTAGTGGGAAATAGAGAGAAGCACCAGTTTACACTCACTTTCCTGGCTCTGTTCATTAGCGTTCCTTTCTCTTTGCAATCCAGATGCTTTAATCTTTGAAGAGGAACTTGAATGCCACTCTTTTCACAGCGCATGTTTGCCTAGATCAAAAGCACCCTTGCAGTCTGTTCTGCTTGGCTGACACTCTGTACCATGGCTGGCCAAAATGGGTGATTTTGAAATTTAAACCAGACCATCATTCTTCCTTCAATGGGACATGGCTCTTGTGGGAAATCCATCCTCGTTGGCTGTCCCGCTTCCTTGCTGACATCCTTTTCAGTAGCGGTGTTGGGGTTACCAGCCTGTGAATCAACTAAAGATTGAAGTTCTTCCAGTCCCTTCTCAGGCTCTGGTACCTGCAGCTTCCTTTTTCTGTTTTTCTGATGGAGGGAGTGATGCAGCCTAAGGTTGGGGGCACTGGAGGATGCTCCCGCACCTTCCAAGCCTGGCTTCCAGGCACCCTCTCCAGGGTCCTCAACATTCCCAGAGAAGGTAGAACATTCAGACGACGCAGCCAAGGCCTTTGGGCAGGTGTCCTGTGCCTCTTCTTTCAGTGCCCTGGGCACAGTAAGGATAAAATTTGCTGGCAGAAATGGAAGGACGCCTCCATCTTTAGCATCTGCACCTTCTTCCTTGACCGTGCAATGCAAGGACATAACTCCTGAAGTACCTCCCTTTTTCTTACCCTCTTTCTCATGATCATCTTCCCAGAGTGATGGGAAGTTTAGGCACATGCTGGAGCTTTGTGAGGACTGTTTGCATTTCCCTTGGAAGAGAAGTGGTGATAGCTGTGTGCACCCGCAATTGGTCACTGCCTGGGGCATCTTCACACCTGGGCCGTACCAGCAGTGATTTGGGGTTTTCATTCTTCTTAAGACTCCTCAGTAAGTCCCCTTTGGACTCCCTGTACTTTTTATGAGGCTGATTTTGTGGCCCCTTGCGAGACTGTGTGGTAGTCTCTGGAGCACCTGATGCTCTTACCAGACCCCAGTTAGTTCTCTCATTCAGAATCTCCAGTGTCACTGTGAGGGCCCTTCTGTGGGCCATTTCCTCTCCTGGTGGGACACTGGCCTTTGACTGGGCCACTAGTGTGGAGGTAATGGATTCAATCTGAGACTCACCTAGGATCTTCACGTCTGTGCTCTTCACTTTAATTTTTTCATCCACTGAGAGTATTTGAACTTCTAGAGACTGTGCCTTTTTCCTGTTAATTTTTGGTGAGATCCCAGATCTGGACAAAACCTTCGCTGGCCAAAGGTGGCCTTCCAATTGCAGAGGACATACTCAGCATCCATCATGATTTGAGTTTCCTGTCAAGAGGTAACTAATGACATTTGGGGGGCCTGGCTGTCATACCCACAGCTATGGCAGGTCTTCCCTAAACCAATGTTCTTCACCACACCTTTTTGCAGAGTACCGCCAGGGCTTTCCAGCTTATGTGGCCTGTCTTTCTCCTTCTGAATCTCTCAGGAACGTTGGAACTCATGCTTTGAGCGGACTATACTGGAGAGCACTGGAATGTGGGAAAGAGAAACCAGAAATGTATCAGAGAAAAAATTCATTTTGTGGAAGTAGAAGAATGTTTTGCCAATGAGAAGTGATAAGAGGTAAACAGGGAAATATAAACAGAGTGTCTTGGCTGTCCTGATACATGGGTAGATACGTGGACAAGTATTTGGGGAAAAACTTGGAAGATACCAGGAGTGTTTTATTATTCTCCAAAGCCCAGCTTATGGCCCTACTTGTTACTACTGAATATTAAAGAGCATCTGTGTGGGGAGGTGTGTGCAATGTTCAGGATCTCACTTGTGTTATTGGACATCCTGTGCCTTTGGTGCTCCTGGGGGCTCGTCCTAGGAGAGTGCTTCAGGTTTCCCTTCCTAGGGTGCTAGGGCCACCCTGTGCACCCAAGGAAGCCAGAGGTTATCTCCAGCCTACAAATACTGGGTGTCAGCACAATGGCGTGTGCAAGAGCATGAGCTTAGAATCCAGAGGTTCATGAAGATCACTGTGGTGGCTACTGATATCACCCTCCATAAGGATTTCTGTAGGTGCAGGCCACTGGATGTGACCTGCACTTTTTCATTTTTCTGTGCAGACAGATAGCAACTGCACTAGCAGGGGTGAGGATTTAATAAGGTATTTCACTGTTGAATCATTGTGTTGCATACTTGAAACCAATAGAATGCTGTATAGAAGCTATAATTTGATTAAAAAAGATGAAAAGCTTTTCCCTCCCAGCACCAAATCCATGTAAAGGGGCTGTAGGGCGAGGAGAAAAATAATCACACCCCAAGTTTCAATATGAAACGATTGCAAATGAAGTGTTTAGTAAAATGGAGAGTCTTACCAAACACTGTGTGGATCATGGTAGGTGTGATTCTGAGAGCTACGTCCCTTGATCTGCACACTCCAGCTGCTCTTCCGGCAGATCTTTTATGCTGCCCTGTGCTTCTCAAGTACACTGTTCTCCCAGGAATCAGATGGCCTCAAATGCAGATGGATACCCAGGGCCAATGCACCTCTAATGTTAATCTAAAAAGGTCCAAAGCAGATAGGAAATTAAGCCAGTGAAATGGGGATTGATTCATCATTTTCCCTTCCCCAGTTGTAGAATGCATGCCATTCTGAACTAGGAATGTCAGTTAAACCTCCTATTTTTCAGAACAATGGGAACTACTGCTTTCATGATAGCCTTCGTCTGTGCTGGACACACCAATCAAATAGTGGCAGTGTGTGAGTGTGTGTGTGTGTATGTGAGAGAGAGAGAGAGAGACAGAGACAGAGACATAGAGGTGGGAGAGACAGAGAGGAGGGGGAGAGAGACACAAAAATGGGGTCTACATTGTTAGTGTTTTTTTTGTGCTTCTGAAGTAGCATTATATGGACTGGCAGAGAATTTAAAATGTGTAGGGATATTTTACAGTAGCCAATACATTATAGATATTCACTCTATAACACTGGCTATGGGCTTCCGACACATTTCTTGTGGATCCATATACACGTACCTGCACATATTGCTTAGGAGAACATTTCTTCACTCAAGAGCATGTTTGGTCACCATTTTTTGTGAATGTCTATTTTTCACTCATTTTTGTGAACCTGTTTACAACATGGTTTCCCGGATATTCAAACATTTTATGTTAATAAATTTCAAACAGGTAGTGTGCAATGCAGGAGGTGCAGTTGTTCTCTCAATCCCTCTCTTCCCCACCCCTGAAATGCCCTATTGACTTTTCTGTATACATTGTACAAATACATATTATAATTCACTTACAGAGTTTAGCTCATCTGCTATCAGTTGCAAATGATATGTTACATGATATGAAATACTGTTTCCCTAATGAATGCATACACATGTGACTTTGTTCACATGTGTATACTCATAGAACATGAAATATATGATGACTAAATAATACATACTTAGGGCACAACCTGCACAAACTTTGTCTTGGAACAGGGTGTGCAATCGTGCGGGGTTTGCATCCATGGCTTTAGAGAACTCAGTGTACCGGCTCTCAGAGCACAGGTGTCATATGAGGAAACAGAACAAAAGGGAGAAGGAAAAAGAGGTGACTGAGCCCTGAAGCATGGCCTGCCAGACCATCACAGAAAAGAGGAGTGCCTGAGTCACCTCAAACCCAACGAGATGGATACCCCCACCCCCAAGAAGCACTCCCCACCACACTCCCCCCACTCTCTCTCTTAGATGTTAGAGACCCAATCAGACACCTGATATTGATGCATGTAACCCATGCTCTCTACCTCAACCCAGGCAAAGCATGCAAATATTTCTGCTTCCAGTATAGATGTTCTTTTCAGCTCCTCTTAGTTCCTTATTTTAAAGACACACATGGAAAATCTAAAATGAAGTTTAAAATTATAAAGTAGGGAAAGTCCTGAGCATCAGTTGGCTAGTCGCCTAGGAACACTTACTGCAAATCCATGAGTGCAAGGACTCTTAGTTTTCCCCCATCTATACATACATTCAATAAGATATTAAAACATTGTTTTAAACGTTGTACAAACTGCTTGAATAGTCTCTCGCATTTACATTTGTGCACATCTTTTCAAGTACAAAACACTTCCAGGGACTACTTTCAAAAGACAATCAGGCGGAGCCAGGATGGCAGCGTGAGTAGAGCAGCGGAAATCTCCTCCCAAAACCACATATATCTATGAAAATATAACAAAGACAACTCTTCCCAGAATAAAGACCAGAGGACACAGGACAACATACAGACCACATCAACACCTGCAAGAACCCAGTGCCTCGCAAAGGGGGTAAGATACAAACCCCAGCCCGGCGGGTCCCAAGAGCCCCTCCCACCAGCTCCTGGAGGGAGGAGAGAGGTCTGAGCGGGAGGGAGAAGGAGCCCAGGACTGCTGAACACCCAGCCCCAGCCATCCGGATCAGAGTGCAGACACAGTGCATGCATGGGGCCCTGGATACTAGGGAAACAGGGAAGCAAGAACGGTGAGCGGGTACCAGAGGCCGGTGCCAGAGGACAAAAGAAAAGTGAGTGGCTATCTTTTTTGTTGTTGTTGTTGTTGTTTTGTTGTGGTGAGTGCTTTTTGGAAGTCTTAAAGGGACAGGGACCCCAATACTAGGGAAACAGGACAGCAAGACCAGCGAGTGGGTATCAGAGACTGGTGCCAGAGAACAAAAGAAATGTGAGTGCCCACCTTTTTATCTTTTTTTTCTTTGTTGAGCACTTTTTGGAAGTCTTAAAGGGACAGGGACCCCAATTCTAGGGAAACAGGGCAGCAAGTCTGGTGAGTGGGTGCCCTAGGCTGGTGCCAGAGAAGAAAAATGAGCAGCCATATTTTTTCTTTTTTTTGTGGTCATTTTGTTTTGGCGGGTGCTTTTTGGAAGTTTTAAAGGGGCAGGGCAGGACACTTAGTCCAGAAGTAGGGAATCCGGGGATCTCTGGGCACTCTAATCCCCTTGGCTGCAGGGAACATGGAGGCACTGTACGGAGATAAATAGCCTCCTGGCCACTCCCTCTCCAATGCAACTCCACCACTTTGGAGCAGCAGCCAGAGCCAGGCCATGCCCTACGCAACAGCGGAGATAAACTCCAAAGCAGCCAGGCAGGAAGCAGAAGCCCTGTCTGCACTCAGCCACCTAGCACAAGCCACTAGAGGTCACTACTCCCCCAGGAGAGGAAGGCCGCAAACCAACAAGAAGGGAAGTTCTTCCAGCCATCACTAGCCCCAGCTCTGCAAACTATTCCTATCACCATGAAAAGACAAAATTACAGGCAAACCAAGATCACAGAGAGACCAGAGGAGACAGAACTAACCAGTCTTCCTGAAAAAGAAGTCAAAATAAAAATCATAAACATGCTGAAAGAGATGCAGAGAAATATGCAAGATAAATGGGATGAAGTCCGGAGGGAGATCACAGACGCCAGAAAGGAGATCACAGAAATGAAACAAACTCTGTAAGGATTTATAAGCAAGATGGATAAGATGCATGAGGCCATTAATGGAATAGAAACCAGAGAACAGGAATGCATAGAAGCTGACATGGAGAGGGATAAAAGGATCTCCAGGAATGAAACAATATTAAGAGAACAGTGTGACCAATCTAAAAGGAACAGTATCCATATTATAGGGTACCAGAAGAAGAAGAGAGAGGAAAAGGGACGGAAAGTATCTTGGAAGAAATAATTGCTGAAAACTTCCCCAAACTGGGGGAGGAAACAATCGAACAGACCACGGAAATACACAGAAACCCCAACAGAAAGGATACAAAGAGGACAACAAGACACATGAAAATTAAAATGGCAAAGATCAAGGACAAGGAAAGAGTTTTAAAGGCAGCTAGAGAGAAAAAGGTCACCTATAAAGGAAAACCCATCAGGCTAACATCAGACCTCTCAACAGAAACCCTACAGGCCAGAAGAGAATGGCATGATATATTTAATGCAATGAAACAGAAGGGCCTTGAACCAAGTATACTGTATCCAGCATGACTATCATTTAAATATGATGGTGGGATTAAACAATTCACAGACAAGCAAAAGCTGAGGGAATTAGCTTCCCACAAACCACCTCTACAGGGCATCTTACAGGGACTGCTCTAGATGGGAGCATTCCTAGAAAGAGCACGGAACAAAACACCCAACATATGAAGAATGGAGGAGGAGGAATAAGAAGGGAGAGAAGAAAAGAATCTCAAGACAGTGTATATAACAGTACAATAAGCAAGCTAAGTTAGATGGTAAGATACTAAAGAGGCTAACCTGGAACCTTTGGTAACCACGAATTTAAAGCCTGCAATGGCAATAAG